GCCTGATGATGGCAGATGAGATTCTGCCGAAACGTTGCTACAACTTTTAAAAGCACAACTACAATGACATATGGTATTCAACTTTGTTCAGGTATTTTCCCACGTCATTATAATTGTGCTTTTAAAGTTGTAGCAACGTTTCAGCAGAATCTCATCTGCCATCATCACAAAATCTCCAGAACCGTTAAGCCTACAAACTTGAAATTTGGCATGTATGTTCGTCTTGGCTTCTAGGTGCTCACTAAGAAAGGATTTTGTGAAATGGCCACCAGAGCATTAGTATTTCCTATATTATTATTATTATTATTATTATTATTATTATTATTATTATTATTATTATTATTATTATTATTATTATCATCATCATCACGCTCTGATGCTGAGGAGTTCTGCTCCCCTTCCCCACCTGAAAAGAAATCTCTTCCAAATGCAAAACACAAGCAGAGGAGAGGAGTTTCAGTTTCACAGCACCAAGCAGCTTTAGTACAGAATAGTTGAGCTAAGTCACGCCCAGGCTCCTTGCTGTCTCCTTGCTCACACAGTAAATACTCTTTCGGTTTCCAAACAGCCCTCAACTCTCTCACGCGTCTGACAGGATGCTAGCCAGACGAATACTGATGGATGCTGGTAGGCAGAGGCACAATTCCACCCCCCTTTATTTTCCTCCTCACAAACTTTACGAGTTAACGCAACTGTCATAAGTGCATGCCAGTTGCCAACCATCAGAATTTTGACCACGACCATGGGGATGCTGCAGTGACCATCCTAAAAACCAATCATAACTCACTTTTTTTCAATGCCGTTGTAACTTTGAACAGTCACTAAACGAATGGTTGTAAGTCAAGGATTACCTGTACAGTCTCCCTGTCCTGTCCTAAGATATTTAATTGGCCTTGATTTTGTCTGCTTTCTCAAAATGCAGTTTTTCTGGAGAGTGTTGACAGAATAACAGTGTTGGAACGGACCTAGTCCAACCCCTGACAGCAGATACCGTTCCAGGTTATCTGTTTGTTTTGGTGTTTCTCTTTATATTTTTCAGTTCTCATTACTGTGTCATTGTTTTGCTTTAATTAGGGACCCGCCTGGAGCCTCTTTCTCCTCGCATCGGGCTAAGAATCCAATAGAGAGATAAATGAATAAATAAACCATCTTCGTGCATTAGGTTTATGATATATTTAGCCGCCCCACTGTTCTCTTTTGGGATAATTGCAAGGTTGCCTGCAGGAAGGTTAAAAAAATAAAATAAAATAAAATCAAAATAACGGCTACAACTACAGATAGTCCTCGATTTATGACTGGTCACTTAGACCGGTCAGCACTCTATCCTTAGGGTCATCTGAGTGGCGCAAATGGGTGTGAAGCCTTCTTGGAACTGCTGAAAGGACTGTGTTGTAGAAGGCTCCACACCCATTTGCAATACTCGGGTGACCCTGAGGACAGAGATAAACCTCCAAGTGGCCTCAGCGACCCTCTAAAAGGATGCAAATGACCAGCTGTCTGCAAGGAGTATAAATCCCTTCATTCCCCACCATCCGGTCAAAACTGAAGAAGCTTCTCGGATGAGAAGCAAAAAGTCTTCAAAGAAAAACAAAAGTCCAGTTGCCTCTTTCAAAAGTACTTTGGGGACAGCCATGACCTGGATGACCAAGAATCTCCACAGACTACTCCATTATGTTGTTGATGGCAGGGGGTTAATTTAGCAGGCTAGAAACTGAGACACTGGAAGTTCTAGTAAGTAACTGGTGACTTTGGGCCAGTCGCTTTCTCTCAGGCCTAGGACGAGGGCAATGGCACACCACTTTGCAAAATGGAGCCTCCAGTTTCAAAGACAGTCAACGTTTCAGAGCTAAATCTCCATCTTCCTCCCGCAACGTGACCCGATCTTGCTTTTGCACAAGTTTTACAATTAGATTTTTTTTGGCAACCCCTCGTTTATATTTTAAGAGGAAACAAAAGGATTCTCCTTCAATGTACCCTGTGTTCCTCTTTTCCAGCTGCGCTGGGGACGCTGGATTTCAGCTTGCTGTACGATCAGGAAAACAATGCACTCCATTGCACGATCAACAAAGCCAAGGTAGGTGCCTCCACATTTCTGAAAATCCCATCGTGTTTTTTTCCTGTGGATCAGACAAATGCAATTATTAATGTCAGCATCCTGAGCACATACGTAGGCCCAGCATCCTCTGGCTTGTAATTCTGTGGTTTGGGTGTTCGGACTTTCTATTTCTCTATTGTTCTTCTCACAAAGAAGAGGAGGGGGTCAACTTAAAAACGATGGGTGGAAACTAATCAAGGAGAGAAGCAACCTGGAATTCAGCGGAAATTTCCTGACCGTGAGAACAACTCATCAATGGGACAGCTTGCCGTCAGAAGTTGGGAATGCTCCAACACTGGAAGTATTTAAAGAAGAGATTGGATGACCGTTTGTCTGAAATGGTATAGGGCCGTGACAGAGTGCCGAAATTGGAGCATGCGCACGTGCCAGAGTGCTGGAACCCAGAAGAGGGCAAGTTAGCCAGCGTGTGATGGAACCAGGAAGAGGAGCTGGTGATGGTGTGCATGCCCACAGAGAGGGCTTTTGCGTGCCACCTCTGGCATGGGTGCCATAGGTTTGTTTCCTGCTTAAGCAGGGGGTTGGACTAGAAGACCTCCAAGGTCCCTTCCAATTGTATTATTCTAAGAATCTCTTCCCTTCCCTTCCTTTCCCTCATCTCCTCCCCCTGTACCTATTCTACTCTACTCTACTCTACTCTACTCTACTCTACTCTACTCTACTC